AGAAGATGAGTCTGGGCCTACACAACAGAATAAGGAAATGATCCAGACAGCAAAGCACTTAAAGGTTTTAAGCAGTAGAGTTATAATGATGAGAGCTGCATTTTATGAAGCTTAATCTGGCAGCAGAAAGCAATGTCTCAGCCAGGAAGAGACAATGAGAATCTGAAGTTGAGTAACAGCGGTGAAAAAAGGAGAAAAAGGAGGCAAGGAAGAAATGTCTTGATGTGGAGCCAGTAAGAGACAAAGCCAAGAACATCTCTAAGCCCACTAGGCTTTTCAAATAAACAAGAGCCACGACACGATCTGGTACTAGGTGAGTGGATTACCTAGATTTTCACAGTGCTTTGACACAAGACATGACACAAACAAGCCAAAGGGGAGAGACACCTTGGAACATGGTTTTGGGGTTTTGCACACGGTTGTTTAGGTCCATGTGCTTGGATAGAACATCACGTCAGAAGTATTTGGAGAAAAAGCACCTCAAGGGTGGCAGGGAGCAGAGTGATAGCCAGAGACTGGGGGTCAGCTCTAACCTTCAAAGGCATGCTTCCCAGAGAGCCAGTTCCTCCAGCTGGGTCCCCACCTCCTGAGGTTTCTGTTGGCTCCTGAGTGAGTGTCACTACCTGGGACCACATGTTCAGCAAATGTGGGAAATATTTACTATTCAAATATATAATATAGAGCTAATATATAAGATACAAATGAAAAGGAAACACATTATGTTATATAAATATAATTAAAGCTAATAATATTAGATCTTGTAGGCAGGGGCCGTGGTTGCTCTCATTCATACTATAACTCCAATGCTTGGCATAAAATGAGCCCTCAATAGTGGCCTTTATTGCAAAATGTATTATATGTTTGGTCTTTGGGAATTTACATAATCACCCGAAGGGAGGTATAACTAATTTATACTTTCATTTTTATTACCTTTCACATTTTGATCAACGTCATGCATATATAAAAATATAAAACATCATAATGAATATACCACACACATATCCATCTGTTCAGCATGACAAAGAGAACTTTGAAATATCTGTCTCAGCCTGTTTTGGCTTCAGTATTCAAAAATATGATAAACTGGGTGGCCTATAAACAGCAGACATCTATTTTTTACCATTCTAGAAGCTGGGGAGTTCAAAATAAAAGATATCACCAGGCTCCTTCGTGCCTGGTGAAGACCATTTCCTGGTTCATAAACAGCTGTCTGTCCACCATAACTTGCTTGATGGAAAAGATGAGGGGTTTCCTTATGGAGCCTGATTCTATTCATAACAGTAGTGACTCCTAAAGGATCTGCCTCCTCAGTTCTCCAACCTCTAATACCACTGCCTCAGGGGCTCAAGTCCTGACATACACATTTCAAAGTAGCACAAATATTCAGCCCATTGTACCATCATCATACACATTTTATACTCAAGAGGCCTGAAACTGACAGTAGTTCAATAACCCAGTCAAGGTTATAGAGCCAATATAGGTCACAGTCATAATTTGAATAAAAGCCTATCTCCCTTTAGTTCTCAAGTTTTTAACCATACTTGTGACAAGTGGATTATTATTACATGTGTGTGATTGTGTGCATTTGTGTGTATGTGTGTGTAAAGACCAGAGATCAATCTCAGGTATCATTCCTAAGGAGGCATCTACCTTGTTTTTTGTGTCTGGTTCTGTGGCTTGTTTGATTAGATCAGGCTGGCTGATCACTGAGCCTGAGCACCCACCTGTCTCTGCTTTCCCAGGAGTGGGATAACAGGCATTTTTTTCCCACCATACTTAGATTTTATAAAAGCTTGGGGGATCCAAACTCAGATCCTCATGCTAATGTGGCAAGAACCTTACCACCTGAGCTATGTCTCCAGCCTGAAAGGACATCCACAGGGGTAGACCTAGGAGTTAAATGGCGCTGTAGTGTTTAAGGAGAGAATTCAGGACTAGAAATACCAAGATGGAAATTGCATGTATTAAAGTTGTGCTTGAAGGGATGGGAGTGAAATGAATAGGCAATATAAGTGGCCTGAGGACAAAGATTTGGCTTAAGCCCCGCGTCTTCCTGGAGAGAGAACAAAAAAAGGAGACTATTTAAAACCCCTGCCTGCTCGGAGAGTTAAGAACTCTTTTTTGGCTGCCCTGATGTTTCTTTTCTGGTTTCTGGAAAAAAAGGCAGAGCTGTCTACAATCCACTTAGTGTTTTTTTCCCCTTCTAGATCTTTGGTACAGGACAAGCCAAAGAAGCCATGATATTTTACACCATCAACTTCGTTTAAACTGTGAGGGTGGGGATGTCATTTTTTTTTTTAACCACAAATGCATCTCTGACCTTCTCATATTGGTGTCTAATAATATTTTCTATCAGAGGCAAGACTTGTTTGGAGACATGTGCACTCTTCTACATGCTGCACGGACCATTAGGGTCTAACAGTGCTGACTCGGGTTTTATCAAATGTGCAATCATTAGCCACACTTGTCCCCAAGGAAACACTATTTGGCATCATTGCCTGATCAGAAATTTGACTTGTCTTGGGAGAGATCTAACTATTGCAGAAAGACTTATAAATGTGTGGGCACACTTCCAAATCTCTTTAGGCCAGTGAAGTTCACAGGAGATTAGAAAAAGTTCCCAGTTTATACCAAGTTTTTATTTAAGAACTCCTCCAGCAGCATCCAATTTTAAGAACTAAGCATCCGATTTTAAGTCATAGCAAATAAGTTCAAAGGTACAAATCATCTTTTGGGGGTCTTCCTTAGGAGTTTCCCCATATTTTGTGAGCATCTGATTGGTTCCCCCTCGTTAGCTTGGTGTTAGCTGTATCGCATTTATAACTTAGTAGCCTCCTCTACATCCTCAAATCTACATCAATCTTTTGGCATCAGCTGTGATACTCTGAGTACGAATTGCTTAGATATTGACAATGTCTCTTTGGTAAATGATTGCCCAGCTTTTTCACCAGGATGAATTTAGACACTCCATGAATATAGACATTTTGAAACTAGGCATTTTAATAATGTATATCCTTCCCTCACATTACTACTCTAAGATGCCTTCTACAAAATGAAAACAAAAATCTTCAGTCTCTTCCGATCTACTGGCTGTTGAGTGGTGAAAGTGGAGAGTCTGAGGGGTACATGATAGTATTCTAAGTGCGAGAGAGTTCATGTCGTTACCGAGGACTAGACACCTTGTCACGGAATAACCTCCATAATGATGGGGTTAAAGGACAGGTTGAGAAAGACTCCTTAGGAAGTTATTAGATCAAGCCAAACTGCAGTTAGTAGGAACTTGTTTCCCTATTATTTTGACATTTCCATCATATTCTGTTAACTTACTCTTATAATTGGCTTACAATAGATTCATTTAACTTAGTGCTTATTTTACAAGGGTGTTTTAATAAGTATAATGATTTTTAAATTATAAACATTTTAGACTAATCTTGAATTGTTCAGACTTATATCTCTTCACCTATGTATAGATGTTATCAAATTTATACTATAATATTTGTGTGCAAAAAATTGCTGATCCAGTACATTGTTGATCAGCCTACCAGAAGACAGACTACTAAAAATACGTTATTCCAAGATTTTTTTTGTCTGATTCAGAATATTCCCTCCAAACAGATGTAAACTCTTTATATCATATAATTTAATTTGGAGATGAGGCCATATAGACAGGAAATGATGTCTTCAGTTTGTAAATAAGGAGACTGGAGCTGGTTTGAATTGAGACCAGAAAGTGCTACTGACTAAAGTGGACTTTCTACTCCTGAATGTTCTTTACAAAAGAGAAAATTACACTTTCACTTATTCTTCTCATTTGCAAGTGATGGTTTATAGCTTGTTCCAATCGACCCTCCAGGACAGTAGGATGAAAATGGTCCAAAATGTGTGAAGGGGATGTGACAATTTTAAAATGAATTCGACATTACTGAATATATATTAGGAAGGTTGAAATATGCCAGTATTGAACAGGAGATTAAAAATAAGCAAAAACAGTATGTAAGGTCAAAGAATTTACAAAAATGTCATAAACAAGGACCAGGAAAAGAACGAAACAAATACTACTCCAAGAATTGTTCTGTGAAATTTCAGTATGGCAGAGGGTGTTTTTAGTCTCCGGCTTCCCTTGGTGGTTTAAAGGTACCTCATAAAGGATGCTTTGTGTCTCTAGCTTTGCTTTAGTTAAAGCTAGGTAAACACAGCTAATATGTACCTAGGACAGGGTCGGGGAGTTTCACATCTTTATCAAGATTCCAACAGTGAAATCACATGGTTATGTGAGATGTCTGACTTGACAGCAAACTTATTAGGGCACAAACAATGTTGGTAATTAGTCTCACTTTCATTGCAAATACTCTGCTAGCTGAGTCTGTGCCAGAACACTGCCAGAACCCACTAGACTATGCATATCGCATCAGGGTGCAGTCATTTCTTTTTTCCTACCACATTCTGAAATCCCACCTATCCTGGGATGCTCTGGAAGGCAGCCAATGAGGGCGTAAAGCTGCACATATTCATTCGCATCTCTCCAAGAAGCCACACCCAACACAAGGCCCTCTTTGTGCCTTAGGAAACAGTAGTGCCACAGTATTACCGTTTTATACTGCCTGACTCTCTCTGGGTTTTGATTTTTTTTTTTAAAGTATGGGGGTGTCTTTCTCTCTTTCACTGTTCCAAGCTACTGGACCCAAATTATCCTCCTGCCTCAGCCTCCTGAGTGGCTGGGATTACAGGCAAGCGTCACCACAGCCAGCTTGAAGACGTCCATCTGGGGAAAATACCTAGTGACTTGGCCTGTGAGATCCTCCGCTAGAGAGAGGAAGCGGCAAGGAGAGCGAAGTCCAAGGGTGAGACCCACAGGTACGAGCAGGCGCAGAGCCGCTATCCCAGGCCCGCGCAGGCGCCCGGCACAGCTCGGCGCACCTGGAGGAGGAGCCAAGCCAGGGACCCGCCCACGCCTGCTCCCGCCGAAGCCCCCTCCCCGCCCTTCCCATTGCGCCGCACGCGCGCGCAGGTGCGTGAGGCCGCGCCCGCCGGGGACCCTGCAGACGCGGACCCGCCATGGAACACATCCGCACGCCCAAGGTTGGTGGCCGGGGCGGAGGAGGCAGAGAAGGAGGAGGGATGCTGAGCGCACGGGGCTGCTCTGCCGGGAGCTGGACCGCGAACGAGGGAGGAGCTGGCGGCGCCCTAGCATCTCCTAGGAGCACTGCGAGGCCGGTCTTTCTCTTGCTAGCTCACAGGCCTAGCTGGAACTAACCTCTTGTCCTTGGAGGGGTGCGCAGTGGACGCAGGGGTGGGCAGGAGGGAATGAACCCCATTTGTCTGTTGAGTAACAGGGTGCTGATCAACGGTTTTTCTTGCCTGGCTCTGGGCTTTACATTTTTTTTTTTTTTTCATTTAAAAAGGGTGCTAGTAGCTGTTGAGTAGTTGAAAAGGAAGCAAGCTCTTGAGTAGCAGGTGCAGAGAAAGTGCTTTATAAACAGATGGTTTGAATGAACTTGAAAGCTTGTTGAAGCTAAGGATTCGGACGCATCTGATACATCCTTTCCTATTCTGAGGTGGGAGCAGCTAGGGACCTGCAGCTGAGCCGAGGATCCATACTTGCCATGACTGAATGATGGCGTATTCTTCTGTTTCCCGTTTGTTTGGTTCTTTGGGGAGAAGATGCTGCGTATAGATTTCGCCCGTGTGTGTTAAACACACCGGCGTTTGCCACTGAACAGAAATGACTGTTTCCCAGTTACCCAGTTAAATAAGACTGGAAGCCTTAGCCATAGTACCAAACCTTGCCACTCTTTGTTGCAATATAATTTAGAATGAAAATAATGATAGAGATTCTTATCTGATTTTAAAAGCCTCTGGGAAGGAAGACTTTTTTTTTTTTAAAATCCTGTTGTCTATCTCTTAGTTACCACCACACAGTCCTTCCTTTCAGAATCATCTTATATTTAAAATCTAGGTCCCTGACAGACTTAGGCCAAACTTATAACCCTGTGCACAGAACTCATGTGATCTCAGGGCTATTATCATTTCATGGGAATGTAAATTTAATTATTTTGCTCTTTATCCAGCAAGAATGTATTCCTGGATTCTGAGATGGCTACCCATACCTCTTAGTAAAAGCCTCTTTAATAATCAAGTTCATGGAAGAATTAGTCTTCTAGCTTGCTGGAGAATGTCAGTTCCAGTGGTGAATTTAAATTGTATTGATGTTGCACTGTGGAATTAAATTGTTGCTTTACAACCAGGAAATTGTAAACTTAGGAGACAGTGCCATAAACCACGAGATAGGTGGCCTAAGGATTTCAGAGCTTAAGTGCTACTAAATAATTTATTCAAGAATGATGAGTTTAACCCATGATTCTCTTTGTCTCTTGCCAAGGGCATTCTTCTTTCATGATGAAGGGGCCCTTTATACAGATGGTGCCTTATGTGTATGTAGGCAGTGAGGATGACAGGGTATTGTGGCACCGGATGGCATTCTCTTATTCAATATGAACTTAAGAGAGTGATGTCATTTTCTGGACTTCACTCTGTTTCACCTCAGACAAAGCCATATATTTAAACCTGAGCAACAAGAAATATTTTTTTTTAATTAATTTTCATCAATCTTGGCCATGTAGAAATTTCTGTGTCTGGAAATGGAAAGAAATTGGTGGTCGGGATGGAGAAGTCACTGAAGTGTCTTTGAGCTACATGGCCATTAGCATTAGAATAATAAATTGTAACAACAAACCTCTGAGGTTGCACCTATTAGGTGGATGAGATTAATTTCCACAAGCGTTTAAGAGTCCTGTACTGTTTGTGAAATGCTTGGAGTACCATACATGCAGGAGCTCACAGTCTGGATGGGGTGCCAGTTGTGAACATGGCATCATATGACTGAGACATAGGACATGAACAAGGTACAGTGGATGCAAAGATGGGCGTTGATAGAGGACCAATCATTACATGGTCCTGTGGGTCTCTCCACCCACTGGGTCATGTGCGTATTTCCATGGGACGATGAGAAAACTCTTCTTAGCAGAGTTGACTGTCACCACTGAAGGAGTTGATGCTGAAGAGCGTTTGAGACAACTGTCACATAATTCTGTAAATACCCATTAGAATAAATAGTTGCAACCTCAAAGAATCCGAAAACCTTGAGACTGGGCTGAAAATGAAGTCCGTTGAGGAAGAAAAAAAAATTCCTTGTATCCTATGTTTTTAAATCCTAAATTAATTTTCACCATTCAGGAATGTCCAGGCCACAGCCATAGGCACGTGTGACTAAGTGTAGCTGTGAATGCGGCCCAACACAAAGAAGTAAACTAAACAGCCTATCAAATCAAACAAACGGTACTCAACCACACAGTACTGGACTGCCCACGTTGTAGATGACAAAGTCATCTAGTGACATCAAGAGGTTGAGTACCTTGGGCTTGGAAGATGGCCCCGGGGTGTGTGTGTGGGGGAAGTGTTTGTTGCCTGAGGCTGGGAGTTTGGATTCCCAGTGCCCATGTTGAAAGTTGGGCATGATGGCACACACCTGAAACCCCAGCACTGAGGGGTAGGTAGAAACAGGAGGATTGCCATAGCTCACTGGTCAGCCCATCTAGTCAAGTCAGGTTCGGAGGGAGGGAGGAAGGGAGGGAGGGAGGGAGGGAGGGAGGGAGGGCGGGAGAGAGAGAGAGAGAGAGAGAGAGAGAGAGAGAGACAGACCCTGTCTCAAAGATTAGATGGAGAAAGACAGAACAGTAGAGGAAGACATCAAGTGTCGATGACCTCTAGCATCTAAGAGTGCACACACTATATGCACAGATTTTAAACATTAATGGTTGCATGCAAAGAACACAGCTACTTGCAGAGCATACATTGTCAACTTGGGTAGTTGTTAGTGGTCATATTCATACTTACACTTCATGCTCTGTTAAAATCTCAGGGGAGCTGAATGCAAAGCTTTTTTTTTTTTTCTTGATTTCATAGTTTTATGTCTTAGGTCTGTATATGCAACGTTTGTCCAAGAGATCCACTGTTCGTTTGATGCACTATTTGATTTTTTCAAGGAAAACTGTAATAGCAATCACAGCCTGTTCTCTGGAGTGGAGTTTAAGAAGACGCGCGCACACACACACACACACACACACACACACACACACGTATACATATATATAAATATATATGAATAATTAGGAGTGTCTTGCACATATTTCTGTTTCTTTGTGTGTGCCTGTGTGTACACCTTACTAAAGCTTTTCATAGAGCATATGCTAAGCAGAATGTGTTTCAACCAGAATGGTCCCCTGCAAGGAAAAAACACTCCAAGAATGAGATGTCTTGCAGTTGCATGGAAGTGAGGCTGTTCAGGATTACTGTCACAGTGGAAATCGGAGTTTCTGCTTTGCTGTTGATCTTCATTTCTGGGTGGTAACCCAGAAAACTCACCAGTGAGAATATGTGCCAGTGGAAGCTTAGCCATTATTTGAGCGTAAGTATTACTAACATCAAAAGGCCTCCGAGTTCCTCGAAACAGCTTGAAGTGTTGGTAGAATTTCATCTGTTTGTCTGGGGTCTGGCTGAGAGATCTTTTCTTCTTCTGAAAGACATTTCCTCCACATTTGTAAATTTGAGTTATTAATGGAATATGTGATCATCTCTAATACAGACCTTTACATGTTTCCTGTTCTGACTCCCACTCCTTAGTCTGAGACCTTAGTGCAAAGTGTCCTCCCTTTTCTGTTTTCTTCTTTCCTGGGTAATTCTGTTGTGACATATGGTCACACTTCACTTTACAGGAATTCTCTTATTGCGGCAACCAAATAGCTGGCAAAAGCTGCTTGAGGCTAGAAGGGTTTGATTTAGCTCACCATTCGAGGGCTTACAGTCCATCATGGAGGGGAAGGGCACGGTGGTGGAGAGGCTTGGTCTTTGGTGCTCACCAGAAGGCAGAGAAAGGGAAATGGCATTGCCTAGTGATTTTCCCCTCTTGCCTTGTCAGCCCCTGGGGTCCCACCTTCAGTGTGAGTTTTTCCTCTTTAGTTAAAACTCTATGGAAACCTCCTCAGGGACACACCCCAAGCTGTGCCTTGTTAATGTTCTAGGTTGTTCTTTGTTTTGTTTTAGATCCAATCAGTTGAAATCAACCATCTTACTTACTCTGCCACAGTTTTTTTTTTTTTTTTTTTTTTTTTGAGTGAATTCTCTCTGAACCTAGATACAAAACAAGAATCCCCAGAGGATTCTACGGCTTTGTTCGACTGGCCTGTCCCACTTCCCCAGCTTTATTTAGTGACCATTTCCTGACTAGGGCCATGGCCTTGGTAAGCTTATCAAGTGTGCCAGGTTCTCTTGTAGCTCAGGATTTGTGCATTGTCATCCCATCACAGGAAGAGTAGGGAAACGGCACACTCTTCACCAGGCTAGCTTTTTCATAGTCCCAGTTTCCATTTAACGTGATCTCAAAGAGGCTGTTACCCATGTCCTTCATCTACATTAGACCTGCCTGTTGTATTTTTTTAATGGAGCCATTTTGTTTTTCTTTTACACTCCTCACTATGATTACTGCATTCATTTGAGTGGGATTTGTTGAATGTTAAGCTTCCTGTCTTAACTGGGAGTCTCAGAAGAAGGTGAGTGTATTCACTCCTGGATCTACGGCACCTCAACAGTGCTTGGTACCAAGCAAGCATGCATGAAATAAATAATAATTGAAAGAATGAATAGTATTTTTTATTTCAGCACTTCATATTTAGACTAGGCATTAGGAATCCAGGTTTCATATGCATTGTACCTATAACTTGCTTGTATTGTGAGTCCTCTTAAATTATATTTATATATATATATGTATATATATAATTAAATATATATTAAATTATATATATGTAGATATATATAATTAAATATATATTAAATTATATATATATGTACATATACATGATATATACATATACATCATAGTGATTACATTTATGTTTAATGTGATAAAATGTGAATAACATAACGCTGCTTATATCAAATATGCAAGCCAATGGTTTTAGTGTGTATGGAGCATTGTACAAGCAAGCATCCTGTGTGTGCAGCGTTGTGCAAGCACTATCGTTATC